CGATCCCTCAACTTCCTTTTCTACGTCATTATTACATTTATTAGATTCTGGCTTCGTTGTTACACTTGTATTATTATTAAGCACGTCTTTATATTATTATCGTTCCTTTATTCTCGCCCCCGTCCCTCTACAATTACCGCCATTACAATCAATGTTATCACGATTGTTATTTCCACTTATTGTCACTTTTGCCATCGTGCTTCCCCTTTAACGCGATAACCGCAGTTACGTAAAATTAATTCTCTTATTTAACTCCAACAACATTTTTCCATTTTTCCATTCTTACGCTCGAAGAAGTTTCGAAGATCTCCGATCCAAGATTGATCGAAAGGAAAACACGGTGGACAAGTGCGAGTGAACGTAACGAGAGGAGGGAGGGGAGAAGGTTATCAATCGTTGATGGAAACAAAGATGCGTCCAGCGGATCGATGGAGCAATTAAAATCCGGATCTCTAATCGTCCGATCGGTCAATCGGTGCGATATTCGATTATCGGGAATAATATCCGGAATGGTCCTTCCAGAATTTGCGAATTTCGCGCGAGGGTGGAGGCGACGATATATTCCACGCGAAAACTTAATTTCACGTTTCAATCGGCCGGAAATTCGCCGAATTACGGGGGGAGGGGGGAGGGATTGAACGAATTAGTGAAATCCTCACAGGGTTATTCCGAACGATAACAATTCGAATTTTTTAATAAATTTTTTAATGTTTTATTTAACTAACGAAAAAAATTTTTTTCGAAGAGTAAAATAAATTTTTATTCGTTAAAATCTTCTTATTCATTCTTTTATAATCGTCTGATAGAGGGGAGGGGGGAAGAATTAGATTCTTCTTCGATATCCTCTATTTTTAATTCTGGAGATGATTGAGATTTAACGAGAATTAAGCATACGTATTTAGATTACGTATTACGATTATTTAGGAAGGGGAATCTTAGAAAAACGAAGATTGAAAGAGAAACTTTCTTGAAAATTGGACGATTATGCGCGTGATTATCTTGGCTATTTAATAATTATATTTCTTGCCTTTACTTTTTTCTAAATTTGCTATTGTAAATTTATTTTTTTTTTTATAATATACGTTTGAAAATGATCAGTTGACGATAGATTTTTAAAATTCTTATTCGTGAATAAATATAATTGCATAAATTGAATCTCGATAATTTTTTACAATTACTTTTAAAACAATGTCATACGTGTTTCTTTATTCCCTCGGATATATGTTTTTTTGTAAAAAAAAATAATTAGTATTTTCTTGGTTATCCAATAATTATATTTCTTGCCTTTATTTTTTTCTAAATTTGCTATTGTAAATTTATTTTTTTTTTTATAATATACGTTTGAAAATGATCAGTTGACGATAGATTTTTAAAATTCTTATTCGTGAATAAATATAATTGCATAAATTGAATCTCGATAATTTTTTACAATTACTTTTAAAACAATGTCATACGTGTTTCTTTATTCCATCGTATATATGTTTTTTTGTAAAAAAAAATAATTAGTATTAAAAAAAATAATTAGTATTATCTTGGCTATCCAATAATTATATTTCTTGCCTTTATTTTTTTCTAAATTTGCTATTGTAAATTTATTTTTTTTTTTTATAATATACGTTTGAAAATGATCAGTTGACGATAGATTTTTAAAATTCTTATTCGTGAATAAATATAATTGCATAAATTGAATCTCGATAATTTTGTACAATTACTTTTAAAACAACGTCATACGTGTTTCTTTATTCCATCGTATATATGTTTTTTTATATATTAAAAAAATTTATACATTAAAAAAAATAATTAGTATTATCTTGGCTATCCAATAATTATATTTCTTTATTTTTTTCTAAATTTGCTATTGTAAATTTATTTTTTTTTTTTATAATATACGTTTGAAAATGATCAGTTGACGATTTTTAAAATTCTTATTCGTGAATAAATAGTAATTGCATAAATTACTAAGAGAATTTCATTCGATGAATGGAAATCAAGGCATCGCATTCTTATAAGAAATTCTCGGTGATTTACCGCTCGTATTTATTAAGACACGTGGCGTGGAGTATCGAGTAATACTAGCGAGAAATTACGCGTATATCGAGTTGTGCAACCGCAATGACAATTTATCGTTCCAATCAAGGAATCTATCTCATATTATTCTTTTGATCGTTATATAAAAGCACGATGAAAAGAATAATTAAAAAATACCAATGTTTAAAAACTCGAGATTTAGTTTTATTCTTACGTAAAAAAAAAAAAAAAAAAATTTCCCATTCACGAAATGATAATCTAAATCGTTTCAACTGTAATTTTAAGAGAACGTTAGTTTTTCAATTAGCGAGTCGATCTTCGATATTTATCGTTATCAAATATGAGGAAAAAAGATAGATAAAGAAAAAGAAACAGAAAACAGTTATATTGGATAGATATCGATAGATGAATACTTATATTTTTTTTTAACAAATAATAAAAAATTTTCGCAAAACATTAAATCTTTTAGGAAAGAAGAAAAAAAAATTCTTTTATGCGCGTCTATCATTATCATTGAAACTTATAAAATAATAATTTAACAATTTGCAATCACAAATTTCTGAGTCGAATAATAAATATACATATAATTAGCGATTTTATCGTATCTCATATATATATAAATATTTAAAGAATTTTTTTAATTTCAAATATTTAAAAAAAATATTTTGCGTCGAAAAACAAAGTTCACAAAAATAATAATTCAACGTGATTGCAGAGCAGAACAAAACAGAGCCACTACTCGCCTCCACTTCCGCCTCCTATCATTCTCTCTCTCTCTCTCTCTTTCTCTCTTTCTCTCTCATCATCGTTACGTATTTGAATTGTAATCGACGAGGAAGATCGCGTCATCGCGCGGTGTTCCCCTTTTCGAGCACCACTAGATCATGTAAAAGGCGTTTAGATTAACGATGGTGCTTGTCATTAAATGATTCTCCCTTCCATAGATGATCGATCGTTTCGTATCTTTCACGCGATTTATGGCTGATAAATGGCAAGAAAATCTAGCGAGTGGAAAGACAGGTAATATCGAATTACAAATTTCAAAATTATAAATGTATTAGTAAATTATAATGTAAATATCTTATAGTTTTTTTTTGTAGATAAAAATATGCAAAGTTTTTATTCTTTACTGAAAAAATTTTTTTTAAAAATTAATACGAGTTGATCCGAGACACGTGCTGAGAAGAAAGAACATTAAAAGGAAATATTTGAATACAAAGGATGTGTTGAAAGATATAAGTATTTTAAATATATGAATATTTAAAAGTTTGAACAAATTTAAATATTTGAACGCTTAATTTGAATTTAAATATTTTTAAATTACGGAATACATGCATATTATATATATTGAAAGACGGAAGTAAATAAAATATTCAGGTATTTGAAGAAATCTCAATTAATTGATCAGGTCACTCCTAGCAGCCAAGGAAACTATTTCCATTAGAATTCTCAAATGATCCAGTCAGACTCGAGTTTCCTCCAATTACGAACGAACTGTTCAAACAGGAAACTTACTAACCTGATGATACCAGCCACTCCAACAAACGAAATCCTTCTCTTCAAACCCATTCTTACAAATAATAATTCCCCAACAACATCGAATTCCACGATTATAATCGAATATAAAATCGAGAAATATCAAATTACCATACAAATCGTATTTCTTAATTCAATAATTCCAAATAATAAAACCATTCGATTACCTTCTAACCTCAAAAATCATTTCAAACGATCGAATCTTAATCTCCATCAAAGGAGAATACCTCTTCGAAATTTCTCAAAGAATAGTTGATTTATCATCGAAAAAGATATCTCGGCCCGATAGAGAGCCGTTCTTGACCGTGATAACGAGCGAGAAACGACCGAGAACTGTGAGAAATGGCTCGTGACACGAGCGGCTAGAAGGTCTCGGGAAGTCCCGAAAGCGGCGAGGCCGATTGGCCGACAAAGAACCCCGTTTCGCGCCACGCCACAGCGCAGCTACGCTGTTGCTAGTGCCTGTCTCGATCGACCACTCGACAAACGAACAACCACTTGATTCCACGGTGCCACCATTATTTATCCCTTTTTTTTTTTTTTTAAAATCAATACAACGCGCGAATAAAAATTTTGTTGTAACGTATGAGACACGTGGTCGAACGAATAATTTTTAATTGGAAGAACAGTGATAGTTATTGTATTGATTTCTTTTCTAAGTGGAAACAGCAATTGTCCAAATTGTAGAGAAGATAGAGGGCGACTCAAGAAACACTATTGGCGGTATTAGGCATTAATTTTTTTTGTGATGTTGAATAAAAGGAGAAAAACGAAAAAGTGAAGAAATTGTTATTACTTTTTTTTTTCTGAAAAAAAAAAAGAAAACAGTATTAAATGGTATTATATGAATAAGAATGTGCAACGTGAAGATCATTTTTGACAAAGTAGAAGATCAAGGTGAGTCTCGATGTCGATTCTGATTAAACCGCGAAAGAGAAACTTAAATAAATGCTTGCAAATCAATCTCGAAATTATCGAAATTATTTTTCTCGATTTTACGTATAAGTAAACTTAAAAGGAGTCGTCATCACTGATCTAAATATTTCGTATTTTTTGTAGAATTCTAAGAAATTTCCGAAGAAATCCTGAAAATCTACTTTCTCCAAGAATCGAAACCCCTTTATCGCGATCGATCGAGATCTATCAAGAGCATCTACGATCAAGAAAAAAGGAGAAATTACTTTCCCCAAGATTATTGTTCCATCGAAATTTTTTTTTTTTTTTCTACCAAGAATATAAACGCACCGTATCAAAAAAAATACTTCTCCACCAATTCCTTCGAAACATCTTCGAAGATATCGAAATATCTTCTACCGCCGTTTCCAAAGAACTCACGACTTCTGATCTGAATCCGGTTAAAAAGGAAAAAACAAAAATCTCACCTCGTCGAATCGCAGGATCAAACTGTTAAACCTGACGAGCCTCCTGGTGAACATCGACGAGAACAACGAAGCCAGATTAATCATCTGGCCAATTTATCCGCGCGAAAAATCAATTTTTTCGTAGGAAGGAAGCCGGTGAAAACGGTGAAACCACTCCGCGATTAACGAGACGTCTCTGGCTCGACAAAGGAGTCGAACAACAACTCCTCGTCGAGAAATCGATCTCGACGAGTTGCATAAGACCGGAGTTCCTAGCCAGTTTCGTTTTACAGCAAACACCTCTACGATTACACGCACCTCTCGTAGATCATAGAGGGGGAAAAAAAAAAAAAAAAAAAAAAAAAAGAAAGAAAGAAAGAAAAAGAAAAAAAAAAAAGGATCGATCGAAAACAAGAGGATCGTTTGAAAAAGACGATGGGCGTGAAGGAAGGAACGACGAGAAGGATCGCTGGTGACGGTTTATCGGTCGATCTCCAATCGAACGAGCAGATCCTCGAGATCAAGGGTGACGGATGCGACATCACGATGTCGAAGAATCGTGGCAGCGTGAAAGTTATCGGGGATGGTTGCCGGTTGAGGATCGTTCAGAACATGGGCGACGTGGAGTACACGGGGGACGGTGGCCAGGTCCTTTTGGGGCCGAAATCTAGCAGGGACAAGAAGGTGAAGTACGTCGGGGATGGTGGTAGGATAAGATTCGACGTGGAGTTGACGATGAGGAACCGGAAGTCTCGGAAGGAGGAGGGAGGGGGGAAGGAGACGGTGGACGAGGAAAAGAAGAAGAATGGCGCGAAGAGTCGGGAAGAGACGGAAAACGATTTGAATGGGAGAAAAGAGACGAAACAAAGTGGCAAGGAGGAGAAGAAGAGGGAAAAATTGACAAGGATCGTTACCACTTTCGAGTACGACGAGAAAATTGTGAAGAAGTGGTTCGTGAATCCTGATAAGGTGGCCAGGAATTTGGGAGGTTCTTTCGTGAGAATTGTGCCGAAAGAGACAAAGAAAACGAAGATTTAGGTAGGAGATAAAATAGAAAATAATTAGAAATTTAGATGATAAGAAAAATAGCGTATATGTATATAATTATAATATTATTTAATAGTCTCGTTTGAAATGGTGAATATATCGATTTTAAGATGGTTAAGAAGATGATTGGAGAGAATGAAAAATTGAAAAAAATGGAAGGAACACTCGTAACTTGAGTCTGGCTTAAAGTTCCTATCTAAGGATAATTAAAAACGAAGGAAACAATTTCTTAGAATAATTTAATAGTGAACATTTGAGCATTGTGAATCTTCGTCGTCGAGGAATAATTTTCGATTTCTTTGTAGAAGAATCATTCTAATAATCGAGGATAATATCTGTTGTACAATCGCGTGATAAACATTATCGATACAATGATCGATAAAATTGTATTGTTTTTCGTTCTTGAGAAATTTTTCTAGGAAGGCAAAGATATATCTCTGATGATAAATGAAAACGTATACATATACTTTACACATATACTTAAATAATTCTTCGAGTTCCTAAATATGAATTTTGCTTGTTCATACTGTACTTAAGAATCATGTAATTTATTTAATTGCGAATAATTTACATTTATTAATCGCGATATTTTAATTATTTATTTATTTATTTATTAAAAACATACTATCTAGCTAGAGAATATCTAGCTAGAGAATCCATCGATATTCGTTACGATAAACGACGATAAGCGTATATGAAATATTTGTAAATGATTAGTCAATGCAATTATTCATCAGTATTTCTTTTCTACTTATTATTATCACTGTCATAGAATAAGTGCATGAATATGTTCCTCGTGCTCGATAATGAATGTTGCAAAATATATTTATGCATTATTTCAAATAAATTGCGTAAACTTTTTAAAAAACAAACATATCAAAATGTTTAATCTTTATAAATTTTCTCTATTACCTTTGAAACTCTTCTTAAGTGCAAATTTACCCGTAAATTATGTATGTATTTATGCAAATATCCGAGTCGAAAGAAATTTCTATATATATTCTTCATTTTTTTAATTGAATAACGTTTAGAAGAACGTTTTGAAATTTGCATTCTAAATATTTACGACTTGCACGTAGATATTTATTTGTCCCAATATCAAGAAAAATATTTTACGATGCTCTGAATATTTCATCTAGGGCATAACGATGAAAATGTTCCTCGAGTCACTCAAGCAAACGATATTAAACAGATAAGAACAACGCTTCTCACGCGAGGTTTAATCGACTTTTTAATTACCACGCTTTTATTTCCATAAAGATCATTACTAATTAAAATCGTTCTAAAATTTACTTTCTTTGTACTTTTAATACTTTTCAATTTAATATTTTTACTCTTAAAGATGGATAATTTAATTGTTAATTTATTAATTGTTAAATAACATTTATAAAAATAAAAAGAAATATCGAGAAGAGTTCGCAATGCGGAGGATCGCGTGAGAATTTCGTGACTTTCACCGTTCGATTTGCGCGCGAAAATAAAATTCGCGTGGGTGGGGAGAACGGATGATCGATAGGCACCGCGTGTTTGCGGTAAATCATCGCAGAGCATTCAATATCCGCGAGCTCATGGATTGGCACGGCTCGACCCGGTCATACAATAACTGTCGAACATCTGCCCGAGGTTTCTCCATTCGAAATGGGTTCGTTACATTGTTGGCGAAATTACGATTTGCACGCGAATATTTTTCGCGATCGATTCTAGAATAAATTTGTATACGAATATATATCGATGATTTATTTTGACTCGATAATGAGGTATAATATAGGTGATCGATTTTCAAAGGTAGCAATTCATTTATCGAATATACATCGATAATACAATCGATAAATTTTGTAATTTTAACAACTGATGATTCACTGGCTTAATACATTAATCGTTATATACATATAGATTTAGTGATTCGATAATTCTTAACCTAACCTAACCTAACCTAATTCGCTGACTTATCAATTTGATAGATTGTTAATGTAATTTATTTTAAGATTCTTGCACTTAAAAGAATAAATAAATTGAAGAATAAATTGTACCATACATTTTTTTTTCTTGCCCAATAATACGACGATACAGATTTTATCTTATGACGTATGAATAAAATTTAAAAAAAATTCGTTATTATATATGCTATAGAATCCATTGCATCAACCTAACCTAATTCGCTGACTTATTAATTTGAGATTGTTAATTTATTTACTCAAGATTCTTGCACGCTATTATAATAAAGGAACAAATAAATTGAAGAATAAATTATACCATGCACTTTCTTTCTTGCCTAACAATACGACGATACAGATTTTACCTTACGATGTACAAATTTTTAAAAGAATTTTAAAAAAATTCGATATATACGTATGCTATAAAATCCATTGTACCAAAAACATTCTATAGAACCTATAGTATCCAATTTACGAGTTTTACGTCCAATATGATTTTTCTTATCGGACACGTAGTACACGTTTAACTGAACCATGCTATTTCACCGATTGAAATCACAATGGGCTTCAAGTCTCGCGTTTCGTACAGGTTATGTAATATTCTAGGTCAAAAATGCTTGGTTATCGATTCGTTTCGATAACCAAAACTTGAAATACGAAAATTAAAATATGATCGATCAATACCAACCTGACGGTCATATAATAATCAAGAATAAAAACGAATAAAAAAAAATCACTATTCTCGATCAAAAAATAAACAAACAACATCTTTCGTCAGAAGATAAAAATTTACGAATAATTACACTTACAGATAAATGAATGTAGATAATAATTTTTACGACAAAAAAAAAAGAAAAAAAAGCACATTTACATCGACAAGTTTCCGATACGATATCGCTTATCGATATATTATTAAAAGAATTCAAGTATATTATTGAAGGAGAATAAATAAATATTGCAAGAGTTTCGATTGCAAAGTATAAAGATAGTTTCGGAGAATTTCTAAAACGTCTACGCTTCCTGTGATACGAGGACTCTTTATATGGTAACGCACACGTGAACGGATACGTTCGTTCCTTCATTAATTCAAGGAGGACCCCTGTCGAAATCAAGGGCCACGCCATTCAACATTTTCACTTGCGCCTCTTTGACCTAGCTTTTCGACGCGCGCAAAGGTCAACCAGGGATCGTTAACCAAGTTTTTTAATCGTGAAACTTGGTTTCATTTTATTAAGATCACCAGTGAGATCCTCTTCCCCCCCCCCCCTTTCTTCCCTCAGAGAAAGAAAGGGAAAGGAAAAAAATAAAAGAGGAAATCGTGCTCTGTATTGTGTTGAAGTTGAAGAAAGATAGATATAGAATTATGTTGGATGTTAAATTTCGAAGGAAGAGAGATCAGGTATTTAAAATTTTGTATTTTCGTAAATTGAATATCCAAAAGTTCGAATATTTGAAAAAAAACTTGGAAACTTAGAATTTCGGGCATTCAAGAAATTTTAAATATTTAAAATTCGAGTGGCTAGAATTTTCAAGTATCTAATAATGCAGATATTAAAGAACTATATTCATGAATTCAAATATTCATGAATTTAGATATTTAAGAATTTAAATATTCATGTTCTAATTTTAACTTCTTTAAGGATAACCTGTTTTAATCTTTTTATTAAAAAAAAAGAAGAAGAAGAAGAAGAAGATACGATAATTTACGTATTTAACGTTTATGCAACAACTACTTGATAATAGGACGGAAAGAGAGATAAAAAGAAGAGAAAGGAGAGATAGCGAGGTAACGAAAAGAGCGTTTGAAACAAAAAAAAAAAAAAAAAAGGG